ATTTCTAAAAGCACATGTGGGGTTTACAGAATCTTGATTACTTTAGATGGATACTGAAATAAATAGGCAGCTTTTCAATCAATGCTTCATAAATTAAAAAGGAGGTGTGCATATAAACAACATCACCGAATTTAAAGAGCAATATAGGTTTTGGGGAGTGCTACTGCAATTCAAAAAAGTTGGATAAAGCCTTTTGTGGCTCTAAAGTCTGATAAAGTGCTTCTGCTGACACTTGTGTTAGTCTTCGCTGGGGGTGAAGACTACAAGTTTGCACTTCTATTGCCTTTTTTGCTTCTATTGCCTTTTTTGCTTGACGGCTGAACTTTCAGCTTGTCAAGTTGCTTTGTGGGTAATGTAAGCGCCAGGTTTTGTTAAGAAAGAGGAATGCGGGGAATAAAAAGATGATATTTATGGTTCTGCTGCATGTATTTTGATCCTCTTTTTGAATTGCCAACTGTGAGTCTGACAACACTTCCTATTTTCTGCAGTTAGAGTTTAGTTTCCTTATCATTAAGTCAGTCTAAAATTGTATATAATATAAATGTATATATTACCCAAATGCAGAGATGTAGATGGAAACCTTTTTTAAACCGCTGCATGTGTTGATCATTGGTGATTCTTTACTAGCACTGCAAGACTTAAAAACAATTAACCGGCAGTTATTTATTATTTTCCTCCTGTGTCTTTTTAAGCTCTCTGCCTTCCATCTGTCTCTGAAATTTTTTTTTAAATAATGTCACCCCTTAATAAAGTTGTGTGTCACACTGGAGTTGGAGACTCTATTTTTTTCTTCTTTCAGTGATGTACCAATTCACAGTCATAAAATTTGAGCTTTTATCTGGCTCAGTATACCCATTTTCCTCTTTCCTTTCAATCATCTTCTCACTTTCCATCCATAATCTCATCCCTCCTCACTCGCCTCTTCCATTTGCCCCGTTGTGGGAGTTGTTCTCTGCCATATGAATAAAGGAGACGAGCATCCTGAGTTAGGGAAAATGATATCGGTGTGGTCGGCTGTCTCAGTGCTCTCCTCAGTGCTGTTTCACAGGCCTTCAGTGTGACGTTCTGACACATCAAAGGGTCAGCACTCTCCAGGGCTGAGATCTTCAGGATGTAACCTGAGATTTATTGGACACTCACATTAGATTCGCTGTCTTGCCTCCTGACCTCTCCCTCTGCAGGACTGTGTGTGTGTGTTTATCTTTTATTCATGCATCATATCATTGTTTTATCCCCAAATTCTTTGTTTGAATTATAAAAAAAGTTATATTATAAAAATATGCGTGCTATGCTTTCATGTGAGCTGTGGCGATGGCGTCATATTCCTCACATGAGCAGCATAACATTAACAAAGACAGGCAGAAATATTGCTGTGAGATGTTTTGTCTTCTTCCCACAACCCCTGCACATTCCACCCTTCACCTTTCCTCTCTTCTGACATCTCCACCCAGATGCCAACCAATATGGAAGGTATGGGAAAACACGAGCTGAAGAGGATGCCAAGCGTTACCTGAAAGAGAAAGAAGAGCTGGAAAGAGAGAGGGATGGAATACGAAATGCACTAGTGACCCTCCGACAGGAGAAGAGAGAGCTGAAGGAAGAGCTAAAGACGGCCTCTGGTAAGGAGATACAAAGCAAAACAGAGAGCAGATGCTGAGCTCAGCTACGATATAATTCTGCCGCTCTTCCGGTTTGGAAACTGAAACTGGTTACTGTAGTTTCAAAATAAACACCATAGCTAAAACATACATCTAGTGTATGTACCTCCATTACAGCAGATTATCCTACCTGTGAGGACAATGGGGCACCACTACTTTCTAAGCAAAAGTATTAGTAAGTCATATTTTTCCAGCCAGACGGTAGTGTTTTGTCTGCTCTGTATCTGACCCTGCACTCTAACCTCAATTATTAGAGGGCCATGTAGAGAGTTTCCCTACAGGGATAAATAAAACATCTAATTGCTTTTATTATTAAACCAAAAAATATGTCTGTGAAAATTCCTTCTAAATCTAAGTAATTTCCTGTAATTTCCTGTAATTAAAGTATTCAGATTTTTTTTTTAAGTAAAACTATTATACCAGTTTGTAAACATATTCTATTCAAATAAAAGAACATGAGTATCAGACATACAGTGACTCAAAAGTAAATGTACTTGTAATTATGCATCAGAGTGGCTCCTGTAATATATGACAATGTCACAATTTATCATTTGGGACCATCTAAAGGCGGACATGTAACCCAATTATCAGTTGATTGTTTGTCTCATTGTGTTATATACGTCTCTGTGTTTCTGTGGAGCAGACAGGAAGAAGTCCTCTCTGAACAAGCGCGTGTCCCAGCTTGAGGATGTCTGTCGTACTAAAGAGGCTGAGAGGGTGGACCTGGAGCTCCGTCTCTCTCAGGTCCAAGAAAACCTCAAGAAGAGCCTTGCCGGTGGAGCACTGGGTGCACCTGTTGACACTAAACCCCCCATTAAGGTATATTTCTTGCGTTTTGTGGAGAGATGCAAAAATTCATGTTAATACCTGCTTGCATACACATTTTTTATTTACTTATTATTATTATTATTTACTTGTTACTAATTAACTATTTACTTATTTTTTGTAGGCCTCCATCAAAAAGACACATAATATCTACAGTGAGTCTTTACCAGTAAACTGTGCCTTAGAGATGCGTAGAAGACCCCCATCTGTTTATGCTTCTTCTTCAGGAACTGTCATGCAGAAGGCAAAGGTAACTCAAACCGTTATCGCCATTCTCAGAGTCACTTTTTTATCAGATTTGTATGTGTGTGAGTGCATTTTGCTGCTGGAATGATACCATCAGGTACACAGTAGGTGATTTCAGTACAATGTAACTGCAATATTTTTCTAGATGATGCCAAATACTATAGATTGGCATTATTATTATTATATTATTGTCATTATCCCAGTGATTGTCCTGCTATAAATGGACCTTTACTTGGTCATAGGGACATGTACCTTTATCGCTGAGGCCGATGCATTACGCACATCAATGCATTACCAATGATCTGATACATTAAGGTTTCATATGAAGCAACTACCAATGCTACACAATAGTCACCCCTATTGTAATGCAGCGCAATTTTACACTTTTTGATTCAACACAATTCGATACAATGCGATCCAAAAGAATATAATGCTATTCAATTCAATATGGTAGAGATTCTTAAGTAGCTTGATAAAAGAATCAATCAAAATATAAAATTATTGTTCACAACTGGTCACATTTCAAAATGAGCCTCCTTAATTAGCCTCTACTAAAAATTATATATAAATGATGCAAAATGTTAGAAAACAATGCATCCCGAGTTCATCCCAAATTGTATCCGATGCACACTTTTTTAATCGGGCCTGTCACATCTTGAACTTTTATGCTGGTGCACCGACACCAGTCTGGGAATCTTATCATCCCTACTTGGTCACTGATTCACTTTGATGCACATATGTAAAATAAGCCAGTATCAAGGTACCAAGCCATATGGAATACGGTTGTGTTTTGGACTGTACTGGATTGGATGCATAAATAAAATTAGAGAAATTACTAACTGACTTAGATAATTTTAGTGATACTAACCTTGCTTCGTCATTCAGCTATGACCTAAATTATTTAGCCTCTTCATTTTCAATTAAGAAATATGCCATTTGTTTAAAGCTTACAAATATGAAGATATTACAGTATGTTTCAACAATCCTGTCTACCTCGACCATTTTGCAGTTATATTCTATATTATTTTGAGTTGGAAATGACACATTGACTTTTTGCTTACATTTCTTTATTACAGTACATTAGCATAACTGAAAGTTAGCTTGTTACTAAATTACCAAAATTTTTCTATTTCTACAGGAATGGGAGTCAAAGAAAGGAACCTAAGAGTAGTATCATGGAAAGGACTGCAGATAGAATGAATGGATATCAGCATCTGACCGTTGTGACATTTAGTCCCACTTAGGATAACCTACCATCTACATCTCAAATAACAGATTTACTTCATTTTGTATTACAGAGGAAACATACTGTAAGGAAATAAATTGGCCACTAGGTGGAGGTACAGCTCACTGAATATTTACTCTGCTGTCTTTGTAAAAGGACTACTCCAAATGTGAGGAATCCAAAGACTAGTTGAAGAAAGTTCACTGTCTGTACCCAAGTATTTTTATCGTTTCTGGTGGCACAGATTCAAATGTGGCAAACAGCAAAAGAAAGAAAGCAGAGTTTGTGAAAGAAAGATACAAGAAAGGTGTATTGTAAAGCACAGTGAGTGCATAGAATGCAGAGTTGTAACAGAAAGGCAACACAGGACTGTGTTCCCATCCAGTGCTGCATATGGTGAAATGTTTTATTGTTAAGGTGCCATGTGAGAAATGTGATGTGTTTGGAAAGTAAGAGGATGGAGGCCGTTTAAGCCATGATATGCCTTTTACATGATATAATGTTTTTTTCCACCTGTACAGAGTGAACTGTGACTACTGTTTTATATGTTTTATACTTTTATAATGTTTAAGGTTTCATTTTTCATCATCAAAAGACTAGGCAATCAGAGGTATTCAGCTGTGTACCATGGAGGGCTGAGTGTACTATCATTTTTTGACTGCACTTATTGGCTCCCCCTCACAGATCGATCCTGTGCTATACAGCAAAACCAGCTGCTGAACAATTAGTTTGTTCAGAAAATCCAAAATCCTATATCCACTTGACCCTCTGTGGCACAACATTCAAAAACAGTTAAATACTTCTGTTAGAGATCATTGAGTAACTAACAAAGTGGTGCTATTCAGTGACACAAACCAATCTTGGGAAAATCTCCACTATTTGTCAGTTTAGCGTTTTTTTCTGCTGAACCTGTGGTTGACTTTTGCACTTTACTGTTCTCCTTCCTGGTTAAGGGAATAATAAATGTGTGTCCTATTCTCAAACGTTTCATCTTTAATTATTTGTTACCATACAGAACATCTCCCTCATTAACATGCACCAACACGTTCTCATTTACTGATTTATTCTTTTGATTTCACATGATATGCTGTGAAGTAAATAGGGCCTCCTACAAACAATGTGTGGAAGCCGAAACAAGAGAAAAAACACATCTACATCAGTCACTTGATGAAGGCAATTCAATGCAGCACAGTATAGTGTGATGCAGTTCAGGCAGCCTATTGTTTATAGCTAGTTAACTCATCCTCATTTGTTTCTATGTAGATGTCAGTAAATAGACAGATACAGGCTTTGCATTGTGTTACATGTCAGTATGTTGTTAGTAGTAAAAGCTTTAAATACAGAGTGAGTTACAAAGAAAAAATTCAAATGCTTTTCATCATTTTGTATCCCTATCTGTGGGACAAAAAGGTTTTATATATGTGATATAAAATGCTTATATGATCAGTTTAGATCCAGGCAGTGGCAACTGGTACTGGGTCCCAAATGAGGAGGTAGAGCAGCTTCTGGGTGGTGAAATTAACAATGCAGCAGCTTGGAGCCACTGCTCAGAGAAAGAGATAGTAAAGCCAGTAGAGGATATTGACAAAGAGGAACGCTGTGGGGAAAACGGTGCGAGCGTGGCGATCAATGTTGTGTGGATTTTCCACAGTGAAGACAGATGCTGCCCTACGTGATGCATCCTTCAATGAAGACAGGCCGCAGCCCTGTCCTGATATTTTCTCTTTTGATCCAGCATTGTTCCTAATGTCAGTGTTCGATGACTGCTCCATGGGCTCCTCTGCAGTGGAGACGATCTCCATTGACTGGTTTGGGTTGGTGGAGGTGACGATGGGGAAGGAGCCGTTTCCATTGGATTCATTGAAGTCCCTCAGAAGCTCCTGAAAGATAACAGACAGTTGCAATGTTTTCCTTGTCTAACTGTACCTCATATTTGAATGTGAACATTTTCCTCACCCTGTGTAAATCCTCTATGGTCTGGTTCTGCATGGTGTAGAAGTGAGCACAAGCGTACTCCAGCAGTGCACCAAAGATGAAGGTAAAGCAGATTCCCAGGTAAACATCTATGGCCTTGATGAAGCAGTTGGCATTAGGCAGGGAAGTTCGGGCGCCCATCATCAGTGTGGTCATTGTCAGAACTGTTGTCACGCCTGGAAAGTATGTCACAGTGATTGTAGTTGAATCTTTAATCAGTGCACTGGTAATCAGTTGTAGAGTGTTTGAAATGTGTGTTTGTCCGGTCCCTCATTATCTCAGTCATCTTCTACTGCTCAGATTTCCCATCTTGGTCTCATTATAAGGGTCAAAACCAGAGTTGAACTGGTGCTAAAAGGATGATTGTTGTGTGGATATTTATATTTTTATAGATGCAGATAAATTATCATATCAATTATGTTCAAGTCAAAAGGAAAATCAAAAGTCAAAAGTATCTTTCGAGTCAAGTTTAAAGTCATCAAATTGATGACTCGAGTCTTTTACCAGTCCAAGGCAAGTGACTTGAGTCCAAACATCTGGGTTATGATAATAGTTAAGCCAGAATTGGGTGCTGAATTAGATTTTTTTTTTTCAACGTATGAGTTTTGTGCTGCTTAATACAGGAAACATTTTAAATATATGGCATATCTGTCTGACCATATAAAGACTGTGAAATAGTATGTTATAGTGTATTATGCAATATGTAAGATCATACAGTGAATCAATATATAATGAGGAGTTTCTATGATAGTTATTCAAATGGATGCACTCAAACATACCAAAATAATAATACTTTAACCTATTAGTGAAATACTTTAAGAGGTCTGGTACTGACCAATACATGTTCTAGCTGGGACAGAGGACTGGCTGATCCAGAAAGAGACCCAGGAGAGAACCACCAGCAAAATGGAGGGAACGTACGTCTCCAGGATAAAGAACAGCACGTTTCTACGCAACGCAAAATGCAACACCAGCTTGGGATATTGTCCTGTGAAGAGACACAGAAAGACTCTCAAAACATTTGTGCTCTGTAAGAACAGTTTGCTTTATTTAACTCCACATGTAAGCGGGATTCTGGAAGCTGAACTGTCTTACCTGTCTCATACACAGCCTCTGACACTGTAGTATAGTAGGTCTCCACACTGTACTGAGCCAGCCGCAGTGTGTCAAGACCCTTCACTGAATCATTCCCTCTGGTCCAGTAGAAGACCACATCCTGCAGGTTGTAGCCCCCTTACCACACACACACACACACACACACACACACACACACACTCAAAAGTTATTTTAATTAATTACATTTTGATTAATATGATCTGCTAAGCATAACATTGTCTCTTCAGTTTGATACTCACTACACTGATCATGATGATGATGATGATGATGATGATGATGATGTTGATGATAATGGTGATGTATGTCCATCTACACACTGGATGGAGGGTTGATGGAGTTCACAGGTACTCACAGCTCTCCAGCTGCAGGGTGCACACCTGTCTGTCCATGGGGTACTTGGTCAGGTCCATGTTGCAGGCGATCGTAGCTGTGATGCTGGTGGTGTGTATTCATAGCAAGATCATTAAAACACCTTCAAAAACACTCCTTTGATGTAGGACAGGGCAATTAAAAATAATTATTAAACACAACAAAGTCTCCCACTGAACAATAACAAAAACAAAGACTCATATCTGAGGTCAACATCAGTAATTTCAGATGCATTAATTATATAGAAGTGGCTGACTTATGGCTTCATCAGACTCCAAATGTGTTCCTCCACTCAAGACAAATTAGAAATACCCTGGGTACCCTTCACAGTTCTGCTCTTTATGTACTCGATGAAGCTGTGCAGTCATAATCAGGTTCTGTTTCAGTGTGACATGACCGATTACACATCAGGAAAATGTTTTACTTTGGCCATAGGGGACGCCAATCTTCACTAACACAAACTGAACTGTTTGAAGGGCACGAGGAATGCAGAAGTGCAGTGGCATCCCCTTAAGTTATATGACTTATATGTTTTTTTCTTTCTTTTTTTAGGAGAACCCAAGGCCAATTCACGGTTGATTACCACAACAATCGGGAAATTTTAAATGAAAAAAACATGTCTTTCTCTCTTTTTTCTTCCTGTATTTTGAGTGGCACCCTCGCCCTTCTTCTAGGTCCATTTCCTTATAAAAGCTCTGCAAAATCTGTAATATACGTGCAAGATGTGTTACAGGAAAGATAGAAAAATGTCAGTAAATGTCAAATCAAAAAACCTAAACCTTTCCCAAAAAGAAAATATACCGAAGGGCGTAGAGAACGGTTCCATTGCTGAATATGCGTATGAGGCGGTTTTCCACTGTGACATCATGCAGGAAGGAACGCTTGGAGTCCGGGATGAAGGTGTCAGGGATCCAGAGCAGTGACACAAGACGTCCGTCCACGCTGACGCTCTCATTTCCTGGAAACACCAGCCTGGAGTCACGCCAACGCTGACGGAGGAAGATAGTTGCAGTGTAGTCCTGAAACGTTGATGTGAAAAACAAAAAGCCTTTATTCATTCATTCATTCATTCATTCATTCATTTAATTTCTTCAATCACACCCACTGACACATAAAATAGTGGGATGAGTGCTATACCATATTGATTTCGGAGATGGCATCAATGCTGGCGATATCAAGACTCATTCCAATCTCCACAGGCCCCTCTATCACAGACAGAGACAGAGGAAGAACACAAATGACTACTGTAGAGAAGCCTCTTCTGGTTCAAATTAATCCTTATCAGAGTCATTCCTACCATTAAAATTAGGTCTGAGGTAGCGGTTGTATCCTTTCATCAGCTTCTGAATTGTTGGCAGAAGCTGAGAGTCGTTCCACTCTCCCCAGTGGTGGTTAGGATACATACAACCACTGATAACAACGAAGGGAATGAAAAAGAAATGAGACAGGAGATGGGCCGTTACAGTTGGTGCAGAACATAAGCAAAGGAACTGCATTCTCAGTCAATGGAAAGAGAAATATCAGAATGTGTTCTTAACCCCGCACATGTCACCTCTCACCCTTGTGTGAAGCTCAGGCAGAGGATCAGTAGCTTGTGCAGCCGGACAGACATGGCGGATCAGCAGGCGGAGGTCAGCAGCTGTGCTCAGGGAAATGTGACAAACCAAAATGTGAACACATAAACAGCAAACCCACGAATCATTCTCCTGCACCTTCACATTCTGCATGGGGTCACACCGTTTCACCATGGGGTGGCAGCACCTAACCAAAGGAGATCTTGATCCTCAGGCGAAATGTGAGGCACATGAGCCATTCTCACCCTTTGATGTTATAAAACTGCGCTTTGTCCTTGCCCTCCAACTTGTAAAATGCAGTGGAAATGAGTATTGATCTCCGCCTCCCTGTTCTATGAATATATGAATAGCTGCTCCATCTGTCTCCCTCCCTCTCTCTCTCTATCTCTCACACACACACACACTTAAAAACACTAAAAGAGATAAAGACAGTCTCCATGAGTGCGCCTACGTATTTACATGCCAGTTTTTATGTATTTCTTGTGTATATGTGTGTGTATGTGTGTGTGTGTGTGTGTGTGTGTGTGTGTGTGTGTGTGTGTGTGTGTGTTGTGTAGTCTGTCACCTGCTGCTGATTCATGTGGCTACTACTCCATGTTTTATTCACAAAGCCTCCCTGACAACTAAACCCCGGATTCTAACTCATCAAGGATTCCTGTTCTCTAGCTGGTACTCACCATCATCATCCCTCCCTTCTCCTCTTGCAGAAAAATCTTCCCACACTTCAGCCCTCCTTCCCTCTTATTTTTCCCTCTTAATTTTCATTCAAATGATCTGAATCCATTATTATGTGTTTGTTTCCAGAAGGTTTGCCAACATTGTATTGACATGTTGCCACAGCCTCAGCAAAGCATTGCCATTAAATAGTCAATGTATTATTTACACATAGCCCTGCCATTGTAAGTGATGGTGCACATGAACACTGTTTCTAATGGGCAAAATGGAAGTTAAAGAATGTTATTAGGTCCTGTTTGTTTTTGCACATCCCACCTGATGATTAATTCATGCCACCATAATGTTCTCTTTTGATTCATTTTCTTGTGACCGCTTTTTAGCTTCAGCTTAAGTGTTATTTCATTATTTGTGTAGGTTTATGCATGCTCCCTTCTTACTCCCACTCCTCTTTTACTCGACATCCATCACCTATTTCCCTTATGGCCAAATACAAAAATGCACATTGGTTAATAGTATATGTCTTTGTTTTGCATCCTTTATATTTACTCTGAATTTGTCTGTGCATGCACATTCAAAAAACACAATTAACTTTATATTTAATCCTTTTATACTACAAAAGAAATTGTCTACCTTTACTTTTTTTTACACACACAGTTTCTCATTCTCAGATTTGGTCTCATCTCCTACCTGTTTCGTTCTTCTGCTTTTCTTTACCACCTCAGGTCACTCCTCTTCTCTTTCCACTCTTTCCTTTGTTTTCTCCCCCACTCTTTTTCTTTCTCTCCCTGATGTTGTGAGTGGCTGAGATTGGTCTCCTTCCTCCGTTATTTATGTTAGGTTATTATATCCCAAGGTTTCTTCCATCTACTAATAAAAACACAGCAGCTTCTGTTATTTGGTCCTGGTGTGTGGGCTACTGTTGGTTGTTTTACTGTTTGTGCATCTGCCTCTGTCTCTCTGCACAGCTGTATTCATCTCCCCACAGAGCCTCTGTGCACCCCCCTCCCTCCCTCTCCCTCCCTCTCTGTTTATGCCACTCACCCTCTCATTTGCTCTGCATCTCTCCCCTCTTTTTTCACTACTCCCCCCACCTTCACACACACGTACACACATTAACATCCAGTTTGATCCGCCATATCACTTCTTTTTTTCTTTTTTGTCTTCTCATTCTCCTCCTCCCACACGTTCTTATTCCTTTGGCCCTTAATCTCTATCTACCTCATTCTCCTCCAATTTAACCTGACATCACACCTCCTTCTGGGCTTCGAAGCTCCCTGTTTTATTCCCTCATGCCCTCTCCCCCCTTCAATCTCAAACTCTGTTCCCTTGCATTAATGTCATCATCAGAATTAGTTTCCTCACAGCTCTGTCTCCTATCTCCATCCTCAATTCCATAAAAACCCATGTGCCTCCCGTATGAGATGAAAGGACCCTTTTTGACTTTTTTCTTGAATATGGTGTCTTTTCATCCCTACTGCAGCAAACAATGACTACATTTTCATCTTCTAACACTAGCTACAATAGCTGCTGCTGTCAACATTTTGGTCATGTTGAAGCCAAATGTTGCTGATGTTCATTGCTGTTAATAAGAAACAGGAGCAGAATCCTGGTGTTGGTAATAGTGATGATGATGATGATGATGATGATGATGATGATGATGATGATGATGACACACATCAGTCAACCACAACCCAAAGACCAAAGCACTTTTTGCACTAAACGGTCAATATTTTTTCTCCAGACCTGGTTGGATTGTAATGAATCTCTTTTAGTTACTGGCTTTATAGCAGTGCTTCAACTCTAATGATATAGCCTCACCTCTGAGGGCCCACTGGTAGGAGTTCCAGTGTATGTGAGAAAGCCTTGAGGATACAGCCTAATAATACCTTATGAGATTTCAGTGCAGGCACTCGACCTGCTGCAGACTCTTTTCCCATTCCCTAGTACTGACTACTGATGATAACTGATAGCTAACAAGCTGATATTGCTAGCCCAAGGTTATTTAGTGCATCAATAACTTTTGAATCCCATGCTGTCATGGCAGTGGTCCTGAATAAACAGCCTTTTTGCCCTTAACAATAGCGGTGAAGACCGGTGTGAAATGTACATAAGATCATCTGATTTGCCTCCACCCAAAGAATCATGAACCACAGAACACACACAGTCCCTGACAGTGAAATAGACAAATGGAGTTGTCTGTGAAGCACCTGAGGGGGATGATGTAAATGTTTGATCTGTGAGTTACGGTGCTAATGAATAATTATAGTCAGTACAGCGGTGTGTCGGAGTGGCAGACAAGTCAGTGTTAGTCAGCATCCACCTGGCTGCCTCTGCCCACCTCCCTGCATGCTAATTTCTCTTTCACGCTTGTGGTTTTGCTTCTCTCACTATTTAAATTCTTTTTTATCCATATCTGTCCACCTGTCTATTTGTCTTACTTGTTTATTAGCTAGTTCACTTTTCATATTTTCTTGTTTTTTGCTCTGTCTCTGCCTCTGTCTCACGTCCTCTGACCATTAATCTGCTTTGCAGTTTCATGTTCCTTTATGGTTGCTTTTCTTGTTCAACACTTTAATGTCCTTTAAAAATCACAGATTGATACCCTACTAGAGGTTTGGTTGTGGCAGCAGTTAAGTCCAAATGTCCAGGCTTTAGACATGTGCCAAAAGCAGATGAGGCTGGAGTCTGGCTGAGACACAACTGGCACTAGTTGGTTCCTCAAAGCCGAACAAATAACCCTCTGGACCAGGAGCCAGGTTGCACCAGCTGTCCCTAAGTTCAGACTTAGTTTAGTTTTAAGTGTTTACTAAGTAGAGATTTATGCAACACTGAATTAAAACAAGATAAAATGTAAACAGATCAACATAAAAGTTGCTGCATTACATGAAAATAAGACAATATACCTCAAATGACAAATTGTTGGCTGAATGGCTAAAAATGTTGGTGTGTATCCAGTTCGCTTAGCTTAGCACAAAGGCTGCAAACAGGAAAAATGCTATTTTGGCACATACTGTAAACCCCTTTTTATACTTCAGTTTTTGTACAGCTTTAGATGTGCTGTAGACAGATTTTATTATTTTATTTTTTCTTTAGGCAGTGCCAAGCTTGCTGTTTTCCCCTGTTGCAAGTTTTTTTAATGCTAAGCTAATATAACTGGTAGCTGGAGCTTTTTTTCTTTTTCTTTTCTTTGAATATCCTACATTGATTTACCTATTATTGAACTGTTTACTAGCGAAGTCATTCCTTGAGTTTTAATGGTGCAACCTGATTTAGTAGATTCTAATTAGAATATAGCAAGTAATTAAGAACTCACAAGTGACTTAAACTTAATGGTTTGTGAATAACTGGTAACCCAATCTACATCATTAGAATCCATTTGTCTTGGATCTGCATCTAATGCTGGGGTTGCATGTGTGTGTACATGAGTATGTGTTTAGTGCTACACTACTTGGCAAGAGACTTCCAGTCCCAGCCTCACTCATTAAGGTCCATATATAGTGCTCCCTTCTGACCACTAGTTCATTTTTCATTTTAAATACAATCAGTTATTCTTGGCTAACAGCACAGCGCTGCTACATATACACCACAAGTAATCCTTCCATTAGTTGTGTGTCACTCAGCTCCACTATTGCTCTCCCATATCTAATCTCCTAACCTTTATAGCCCTCAGCTTTTCACTTCCTCCACCATTCATCAATTTACCCAAGAATTCCAGGAGAGGTACATGCATGCATCCTCCCCTACCATCTTCTGTCATGCCAAGAACACTGCAGCACTTTGGTTCCTTTCCCATCAATCCCCTTTTGCATAATCATCTCTCTCTGAATCTCTTTGAAACTCTGCTTCCATTTCTCTGTCTGTGTCTCTTGCTGTTTCTCTATCAATAAGCATTTTGATGACACCATGTTTCAGGTAATATTTATCTCCTAATATCCACAGAGGCACCCGAAGATGAAAATGTTACTGTCTGCACATAGGCCCCAGTGATTTGCTGTCATGTGACAAATGGAAATGTCTGCCCATGAGAGGGACAGAGATAAATCTCTCCTAAATGACTGTGATGGCTGCCATGTCCAGGCGGAACACGTATGAATTAATGTGGCGTATAGAGTCTGAGCCCTGTACGCTAGCCTCTGCTAGCAGCTGTCATGTCTCCCCATGACTGTTGTGTTTACTTGATGTAGATAGAATGTTTTCTATTTGACTTTCTTCAGATACAGTGGACATGAAAATGCAATTTAACATTGCTTTCAACTCTACTCTCTCAGGTTCTGCTGGCTTGTCCCCTGTGGCTTTATCTGCGGCAGAGCTTAAAGCAGTCCTTCTTTTGTGACATTTCTGAGTCTCTTTGTATAGTCCCCCTATTGATCCCCAAGTACTAACTAGTTTCAAAATTGTCTGCTTTTTCTCAGTGCAGAGTGTAAGAAGCTCCTGTCAGGCACAGAAATAGTCTTATTATCATTCCTCCTTTCATCTCTTTGCTGTCAAAGTTTTGGTGAAGTTTTATCCCTTCCCTGGGTATAATCACATGTGTGACATTAGCTCCCTGGTCCCTCAAGAACAGTATTCACAAAAGTATAATTATTTTGAAGACAATGTTCATAGAGCATGGTACAGCATTCTGTTTGGGACTGGGAGCAGAAACCTACAGGTCTACCAACCAAAACTGCATTTGGTGCATCTGTAAAATATCTTATTAAAAGTATAGACCCTCAGAGAATTGGAAACAACTTGACAAAGTAATGGCTAGAGGGAACCTCTGCTTCTAGATGAACATTCGAACTAGCTCTTAACATTAGTCTCCAATTTTGCATGTCATTTAATTCATGAATCAGTAAGGATCTAATAATAGTAAGTACACTGGCAATGGCTCAGCATTGGATCACCATAGCTCACCATCCCACCACTTCAAAAAAATGACAAATACATATTTTCTGTAAACTTCAGTAGTTAGCTTTCTTTCCCTTTTTAATTTATTTATGACTTGAGAATTATATAATATATATATTTGTGATTAGGAACCAGTTAGATAACCTGATTAAATAAAGGTTATATATGCTTGTAAGTGTGTAATTTGGTGTTTTTCTTTACAAAACAATGAATAGAATTTGCTTCCAGCAGCACAGGAAATGATACACAAATCTTATAAAAATCATCAGTATGAATAAAAGCTAGTATCACCACCTAAAGATGGAGAATATTGTTCATTTAGGTGAGTGTTGAACATGTAAGTCATCTTTTTGGCCCAAAAAGAATACCAACCAGAGCTGATGAAAAAGTGAAAGAAATTCTGAATAAATGAATGAGATCTGAGATCTGATGTTTTGTCTCTTTTGCCTCGTGCACACCATTCATTATGTACTCTATTAAAAATAGCGCAGGACATACACTGCAGAGTGACCTACTGTAGTCTATGAAGTGGAGCTGAAGTTATAAAGATGAGTTAAAAATGTCCTTCTCAACACAACTTTTTTTAGCAGTCAGAGCCACACCACAATAATTATCGATTTAACAGAAGAGCAGCTGCTTCATCGCTTTCCCTTCAGGACTTGAGATTTGGACCTTGGCCCAGAGAGAGTGAAAAATAGAATAATCCAGTGAGAAATAAGCTGCTTACTCCGTTGATGTTAACATCTTCTTTTCTGTCTTTAGCCGACTGCCACTTGAAATGGTATGGCGGTTATTTAGGCTTCAAAACCCTTGTATCCCCCAAATTGGAAAACATCATGGCTGGGGTACAACGACAGTTAAGTTTTCTTTTGGTTTTGTAGCCAATGATGTGAGATAGTTATCTTAAGAAAAGGCAAACTGACATTGTGACTCGTTATAAAATCAGGCATCTACCTGAGCAATGAAGAAAGTAATTGAGTCTTTGATCTGAAATACAGCTGATAGGGCAAAGAAAATTTGCATGAGTTTAACAGACTCGTAATTTTAGTCTCCATATAATAACACCCAATGACGCATCTGTCTCC